CACACACACACACACACACACACACACACACACACACACACACACACCCTAACAAGGCTATAAACTTGATTATTATAGATGATTATCTATTAACCATATTTCTTAATTATACACTACATTTTTAAATTATCTGTACAAACACAATACATTAATCAAGAACAGAAATATACATATAACAAATTTGATCTTAAACTTGTTTCAATAAACCAAGATCCATACCAATGCAAATCTCTATAGGATATCCTCCTTTAAATGTAAGCAAACACATTTAGGGAATTTGAACATAGTTCTCTCTAAGCTGCCTCATTCTTTTGTTGGTCAAAGTAATTTTTGGGGGTGATTATGTAGACTTTTCATGGGGTCTTGTTCCATCAAACCACATTAGTCTGAAAGGATTCCACAGGTTCTCATCCTCTGTGGAAACAAAAGAAGAACCTCTTTTCCAAGGCAATATATTCTTTGACTCAAACTTTGAAGACATGATACCTTTAAAATACCTATGCTAGTTTAGCTTAGAGCCCATTCAATGAAATGTCTCTCTGTACTTAGCCCATTCACAGTCAAAAAATTCAATGAAAACACAGAAATAGACATAAACTAGACTCTCTGTGGGTATTACATCTAAATGTGGATTATTTTCTTACTCTATTACTTTTTCTATGAGTTTAATATTTATTTTATTATCTTTACTCCTTTAATCAATGACTATCTGTAATCTTTTATATTATATTTACTTTCCAGTTACTCTTTCTCCCAAGTCTATGTACATTTTTAAAACATACTGTGTCTTGTTTAGTAATCGTCTATGTCTAAATCTGTCCTATTGTGGATCTGAAATCCTTGTCTGTTCTAGAGAGCTCTTAAAATGCAAACCTGAAGCATGACTAGTACTACAGCTGCTTTGCCTTTTGGTTCTGCCCAGTGAGCATGACCGAGGCATGTTCATTGCCTCTGCAAGCCTTGTACCCTGTCCCAGTTTCAAGTATGCAGTAGTTCTATGTCAAACTATTATGCAGTTTGCAACATGTTGATCAAAAAGCCCATTTAAATGCTTGGTCTCCAGAAAGAGCCAGAGTTATTTCATGACCCAGGAAGCTGCCATTTTGAATCTGTATGTTTTTTGGTGTTATTTTTGTTTTTTCTTCCATCTCTGAAACAGAAAGAACTCTTTTAATGGAGCTGCAGCATGCCATCAACAAACAGAGTCAATCTGAAAAAAGAAATATGGCGAAACTTTGTTTTTTAGTGTCTAGAATTCCTTTCCAAGCCCTATCAGGTTTTTATGTGGATTTAGCTGGATACACTGGAGTTCTAGTTTGTAGTAAGGAAATACGAAAGCACCACAGAATTCAGCAAAACAGCAGAAATATTTTTCCTAGAGCTTCCAAACTTTGCCATCATCTTTACTTCTATCCATAGAGCCTTATTATGGACAATAAAATTCCAGAAGTATAAAAACATTTCCTCATATTCAAACAATAGAACTTTTGTTAAAGTATTACAGAAGGAATATAAAGATAATACTGAGTTCTTTTTGCATTTTCATTTAAAGGCTTTTTCATAACTATAAAGATATAAGAGATATTGAACCCATTTTTTTTTCTGGGCTCCTCTAACTTTTTCACCACAGTTTGAACACACCAGCCTCAGAAAGCAGGGGGAAGTGTATAGGTCCAAGGCTATGTAGTGCAGGCATCTGATAAGAATCTTAGAGAGGTTTTTGTTCGAGGTTGAAGCACTGTAGGAGGAGTGCTGCGACCTTGCTGACAGTAATAATCTGCCAGATCTTCAGCCTGAACACTGCTGATGGTGAGAGTGAAATCTGTCCCAGATCCACTGCCTGTGAAACGATCAGGGACCCCAGTGTACCGACTGGATGCCCAATAGATCAGTGGTTTAGGAGCCTGCCCTGGCTTCTTCTGGTACCAAGCCAAGAAGTTATAGCTACCACCTGAAAGACTCTGACTGGACTTGCAGCTGATGGTGACCTTCTGTCCTGTTGACATAGCCAGGGAGGATGGAGACTGGGTCATCAGGATATCTGCACAGGCACCTACAATCAGCAGTAGAAAATGATGATGCATAATAAGAAAAAAAAAACGAATATAGTAGCAGTTGAAATTTGTCATCTTATAACTTTGTAATATGATATTGTCAGAGAAGTATTAAGTAAGACGTATTGTCTCATAGCACACATTATGAATTTCTTATATAGAAAGAAGTGACTCTAAAAGAGGATAATAGTTTAGAATTTCTCACCAGAAACCCAGAATAGTAGGGCCATAAGAACCTGGGTTTGAGACACCATGTTGATCACTCTGTCTGTCTGATGTTCTCACTGAAAAGGCTTGGTTCATAAATTTTAGGTGGTTGGTCTGAGCTGGAGGGGCCCATGCAAAACAGTTAGCAAAGTCATAAGGAAATGAATGTGCAGTGTGTATGAGTATCTGGTGTTCATCAACAGGCAAAAATAACAGTGAGCAATCACTGAATGCTATCATCTTACAGCGCTCAAACAGAAATTAATTAGGCAGTCTAGTATCAACTTTGTGTCAAAATCAACAAAAATCTTTAAATCAGTTTGTTTTGCAGAAATGTTATGAAAGCTGTCTAAAATTAACAATACTATGGAAATGTTAAAATATGTTCAAAATATGACAACAAGAGAAACTTACAGTAAAATTGCAATAAAAGAGAGAAATGGTGGAGGGAGGTAAAGAAGAAAGACAGATAGACAATTGAGGTTAAATTTGTTCATTTCCTTCTATATATAACCACACTTATAGAGCGAACAATGAAGAGTGCCACTGACATTGTACTCTAATTTCTTGACTAAACAAAGAACAGCATAGATTTCACTCTGTGTAAATCCTGAAGAACATTAAGATTGAGATGAGAGAATCTTAAAACTCAAGGCAAGGGTTCCCCATGCAGAAACAAACAAGTATCATCTGTACAACTAAGGGAACTGAAACAAGATGATAAACCGTGGGAAATAGAAGAGGAAAAAAACAAACTTAACTTTTTCTTCAAAAAGTCATTGCTATAGGCGAGTACTTACCAAGAGTGTTTATTCTATAATGCATTTTCTAAGATAATTTACAAATTAGCTGTATTGAAAGTGGCTGAAAATGATCTTGCTGACATTGGAAACACTAAAAATAATTCCCCAGAAGGAAGCACTGTCATCATAAATCAAGCAATAATTTTATAGAGGTCAATAGACCACCAGAGATTGCTGCTATACAAAAAGTATGTTTGAGTATGAATGAAAATCAGAAGCAATAACAGAAATCACAGAACATACCAGGACTTCTGGTTGGTAAACTCCGAAATAACATATAAGAAGAAAATTATAAACCTAGTATCATGTGTAAAATACAAGAAATAGAAAAAAAAATGAATAAATAAAACATCATGGCAAGAAGTTCAGATTCACATCTTTAATCTCAGAACTGGAAAGACATACACAAGAGGATTATATATTTGAGGGTAGCCTGGGGTACAAGTTGTAGGCCAATCTAATCTGTGCATGGAGACAACCTATCAAAATATGTGCTAATAATCAAATGCTTACAAGACAATTCAAATATTTACTTTCTAAACCAAGAAGATATTTGACATTAACATTTTAGCCTTAAGCCAAGAATATTATTTAAAATTAAATATTCATTTAAGTAACATGCATTTCTCATTTACTTGCATTGATTATATAATTTTATACATCTAATTTTTATGTAAAATATTAAACTATATTTGATAAGCATGTTCAGATATTTTTTTCAATTTTAACACCATAATAAGACAGAGATAAGCAGCATAAGAATTAATGAAATTCCCAATCTCAACATACAAAACATCACAGATGAGTAACTCTGCTCCAGTCAGTGTCTAAGAATATGACAGATAAGTAACTGCCCCAATCAATATTTAACAAATTGTGCTGTGCTCTGGATTTTTGCAGAACACTGTACTTTGCTATTTGACAGATGCAATCAGATCAGATTGTGGATTCATGTCATTTACTACTGATTATTCAAATAGAACCCACAGAGACAGGGCCACACAAATCCTAAGGCTATTGCAGTTAAACACGTATTTTCACAGTATGTAAGAGGAGATCATGGAGAGTAAAAAGACAAAAGTTTCATGTTCTTTTATGCATAATAGAAAAATCCAGAAAATCTTTAGTTACTGCTTTTCCCACAAATCCAGCTTCCACTCTTGTGTATTGGATTCCTTGGGCTGTGATTTAAAGTGAACTAAATACACATCTACTGACTGAAAATAACAAAGATTATTTTGCTTCCAGATTTGGAGTCAGAAAGTCTGATGTTGATGACCTTGATCTCATGGGACACAGAATACTCTTCCATGAACCCCACTAAGTATAAAGGCCTATGGAAGTCATAGTTCACCCTCAAAATCATCATAATGGGGGCTGAGGATGTTGTTATGTATTATGGTGTAAAAGTCATGTAATCTTGACAAAGAGTGCTATAGCCTAAAATGAAAACCTCCCAACTTAGATGGTCCAAATATTATCACATGTAACTCATGTTCAGATATCACTGATAGTTGCCTAAATTGTGTTAAAAGAAGAACAATACAACAGTAAGTTACAGCTGAGTTCTGTGCCCTTTGGGAAATACAGCTTCTCCAAGGTAAAGAATAATGGTACTTTCAGCCCCAACATCCTCAGCATGGCAATATGGAGGAAAAGAATGAACATTATCCAATCTCTTTTAATTAGATAGATAAGACTGGAGGTAAAGGAAGCTCCTGAATATCAATAACTTGTGCTCTTCTGAAGTTGGTTAGTGACTTCTAGATGATCTTTTGTGGCTGGTAGTTTCTTCCCATTTTGGCATTGAGGTAGCAACCAAAGCAAACACATAAAAATCACTTCATTTCAATGATGAATTAAAAGGAAATCAAGAAAGTGACTGAAAAAGATGGTAAAACACGACACGAAGAGCAAGCAATATATGATTCTGGAGGGACTGCAGACTGATACACAGTCACTGTGAACTTCAGTATGGAGATGCCTCAAGAAAACATGAAATTACCATCTGATTTAGTCACTCCTGCATGATGCACTTTTTAGAACAAAGAAATTAAACTTAAAAGAGATATATTTCTACAGCCATGTTTCTTCCTTCACTATTCACAATAGAAAAAATTTTAATCAATACAGTGTCTATCAAACAGATGAATGGTTAGCAAAGAGATACATATGTGCAAAGAAATTTATTCGGCTATAATAAAAATAAAAATCATGTTAATATGCTATTTTTTCTCTGTGGCTCAATATATCAATTTGTTTCAGAAAAAGACTTATTGTGTTTTTGAATATAATATTTTTTTCTGTGTTTTGGGAGAGAGTTTAACCAACTTCTTTTGGTCCAGGCTGAATAGTAGTAATCTTGAGATCTTCTATTTACCTTTGAGGATTTCCTTACCACATGTTCATCAGTAAATGTGACAGCCATGGGACAAGGTGGATCAGACTTCTAATCCTGACACATGAGTAATTGAGTCAGGATATTTGCAAAGTCACTGTAATCATGCAGTCCTTTGATATGAAATTTTTAAAAAAATGATTGTACCAAGCAACAAAGTCTACAAAAGTTTTCCTCAACGCTGTACCCTCTCATCTGGAACCGAAAACCCCCAGCAGGAGAGGAGCTGACCCCATCCTTGAGACCTGGACTAGAGGCTGCTTCCTGGACTCTGTCAAACTTCTTTTAAAGGTGTTTTGAGCGATTTTCACTATAGCTAATGTATCAATGTGCAAATAAGCTCTGAAAATTTGACTTTGTACTCAAAGGACACCTGCTCTTGTGTCACCCTATGGCAGTCAGGATTAGCAAAGAATTGCCTAGAGTATTCTAAGTAATGTATCCCAGCTGGTTTTTTTTCTGGCCTTTTGTAATTGTTACCTTCTGTTATTCTGAGGTTCTATATGCACTGTCACTGCACTTCTGTAAAGAATGTTGGTTGGAGAAGTACTGTGATCCCTAATTATTAAACTTTTCTATTTATTTTAAAAAGAAAACAAACTTTTTCATTTTACATACCAGTCCCAATTCTCACTTCCCCCTCCTCCCCCTCCCTCCACCTAACACCCCCACCCTACCACCCATCCACTCCTCAAAAATTGTAAGACACATTGGTTTGGGTAAGGTCCAAGATTCTTCCTACCATATCTAGCCAGAGTAAGGTATCCATTTAACAATAATAGGTTCCAAACAAAACTAGTACAAGCCATAGAAGTAAATTCTGGTGACATGGCCAGAGGCCTCATAGCCTGCCACAGCCATACAGTTGTCACCCACATTCAGAGGGACTAGTTTGGACCTTTGCTGTTTCCTTCCCTGTCCAGTTGGAGTTGGTGAGCTCTCATTAGTTCAGGTAAACTGTGTCAGTGAGTGTATTCATCATGGTTTTGTAGTCTTTTTTTTTATTTTTTTTTGTTTTTTTTTTGTTTTTTTTATTTATTTTTTTTAAAGTAAATTTTATTAAATTATAAAAGTCTCCATTTCCGCCCCTCTTCCCAACCCCCTCCCACTCCCCCCACTCCCTCTCCTCCTCCCTCTTCGACCCTTAGGGCAGTCAGGGTTTCCTGCCCTGTGGGAAGTTCAAGTTCCTCCCCCCTCCCTCCAGGTCCAGTAGGTGAGTGTCCAAACTGACTTGATCCCCAAAATCCAGTATATGTAGAGGAAACAGGTCCCAGTGTCATAGTCAATGGCTTTTCAGAAAGACTTCAGGCCAGCCACATTCAGAGAATCCGGTCAAATTCCGAGAATCTGGTAAGATCACTTCCTCGTACAGTCCCAGTCCAACTTTCCTTGGTAAACTCTCATTAGATCCGTTCCATTGTATCAGTGGGTGATAGCATCCCTCGCAGTACTGATTTCGTTTTTCATGTTCTTCCTCCTTCTGTTCCTCATTTGGACCTCGGGGGGCTCAGTCCGGTGCTCCAATGTGGGTCTCCGACTTTATCCCCGTCCTTCGCCAGATGAAGGATCTATGGTGACAAGCAAAATATACATCAGTATGGTTATGGGCCACGGCCGATTCAGGCACCCTCTCCTCTGTCCAGAGAACAATCTGGGGGATCTCTCCTTGGACCTGGGACCCCATATATAATCAAGTCTCCTGTAAACCCTAAAATGACTCCCTTAACGCTTTACTGAGTGAGGTGAGCCAGACCCAAAAAGAGGAACACGGTATGTATTCACTCATTAGTGGATTCTAACCATAATTAAAGGTCTTTGAGCCTATTATTCGTGATCCTAGAGAAGCTAAATAAGAAGATGA